AATCCTTAAGAATCCTTAGAAGAAATCCCCAAAAACATTTTTCCCCCTCATTTCCACTATATATACAGTAATTATTTAAAATTAGCATTTTTAAAAAAAAAAAATCCAATTATCCGAATTTTTGATGATCCGAATGGGGTTCGGTCCCAATTGATTCGGATAATTGGAGTTCTACTGTACCTTTAAGTACTTTTTAAAAATGCTACAAACCATGTATTATTTGAATTTATTGATGTGACACGTTTGCCTAAGAGTTCTTCTGGCCAAATTTGAAATTATCACAATTACCACTTTAACCACAAACCTAAATATAGCCAAAAAACTTGGACCTTTTTAATGCTTTGTAACAGCCTTGGTAAAAGTTTTACAGAATTTTGTAGAGTGAAGGATAATCAGTGATTGAGCTGGTACCCCCTTTTCCAAATTTTTACAAAATTAGGACTTTCAGTCATAACATATAAGTTGCTATCTATACTTACTAGATTTTTGGATGGATACCAGAATCAAACACGCTTTCAGAGATATCAACAACAAAAAAAAGAAGATATTTACTTGTTAGTAAAAAATCTAAATTTGACATAAGGTATGATTTTTTTAAGTCACGCAATTTTTGTGAAAACAGAAATGTTAATAAATAATCCTAAAAATTTCTTAGGCTTACATAAAGGAAGAAAAAGTGAACATATTGTATTAATATAATATATTACTAGTTTTACAATTAAAATCATAAAAATTGGTTTGAAATAGATTTTTGGAAAGAGCATACAGTTGTTGTTTTTTTTTCTTTTTGCCTTTCAAAAAACTTAAAAAAATGTTTAGTTTGAATTCAAGTTTTTCTCAAAATAAACTAAAGTTTTATATAAATTTTTATAACAACAAACCAAACATTTAAGAAAAAAATTCCAGATAACAAATGGGAATTCGTTAAATTAAGGCTAGCAATCTTTTTCAAAAACTCTAAGAAGTAACTGTATTTTCAACAGTAAAACAGGATGATAAACAAGACTCAATATTTTAAAATAAATATCATTTGTCATCGTAAACTCTTTTAGAGAATGATTTTCTTTAAAACAATAGTAAACTGGGATGAAATTATGTTTAAATTGAAACTTAAGAATTGGAGAAATCTGTGAGTTTGGTAAGCTCAGCTCCAAGGAAATGAGATGCTCTAAATAGCAACTAGCAGTTCATGAAGACCCCTAATTTTCAAGCAAAATACAAAATCTTGTTGTTAGTGTTGAAAAATCTTTGTTTCTAAACACTAGTGATCTTCAAAGCACCTTTGAGCATTAGTCTGTTTTTGAATTGTAAGCTGCAAATAATAAAATCATCATAAAATCAGTTTTCTCCCTGTTATTCAATAGAAAAGTGGGTAGAAAGGAAATTTCGGTATATTTATCCGAGAGGCTCAACCTTTGGTCGGCTAATAACATTATTGAAAACGTTTAAAAACCAATTAAATATTAAAGCTAGAATAAATTAATGTTAATAATGCATTCACCTCCCCTTTTTTTTTGGTAAATATAGTTGATCTATAACTACTAATAATTAAATATTTGAATTCCAACTTCCACAAATTAAAATAAACTAAAAGCAAAAAGAAGAAACAAAAAAGTTTTAAATTTTTCATTAATTACATAATACATATTTAATCTAGTATTCTTTATAAGATATTTAAGGTTTATTAACTTGACTCACTTAGAAAAAGAATTTTTTTACTGTTCTAATTAGACATGTAAGACTTTTTTGGAGGAAAACTAAATTCACATTGTATAAATATATGAAGAAATAGTTATCAATGTTGAAAAATTAGTAAGACTTTTACATTATTAAACATATGTAATATCGTAAGAACTATACAAGGATATTTTTTCAAATGAAACATTTTTTATATTATATTTTTTAATTTAAACATTAATAGCAATTATGCCATTGTGTGAAATCTTTTTTTAGTTGTTTGTTCATAGTTATGAAAAGTATTTTACTCCATCTTAGCAAATGAAAGATATATAATAACATAGTTTATTTTTAAAAAAACAGTATTTAAATTATGAATTATTTTAGGCTGAGAAAGGCTGTTTTAAAATATAATTTCGCTATTCTTTTTTTAAAAAATCCAGCTATTACAAACACTTCTACAAATTTCCTTTTCTTAGAGTCATTAATTTTCAGATATAATTAGTAGGATATGCACAATTCTGAAAAATGGCACAAAAATTAAAGAATTTCTCAAAAATAAGGAGAACTTGTACACACAGAGAGATAGTCGATTATTAAAATTTCTGTACTGAGAATTTAAAATGAGTTAACTCCTTGTGATCATTGAGATTTAGATCGCAAATTATAGGCTTATAAATTTTATTCATAAATTGATTTATCGCAGAACTATTATCTTCATCTCTTTCCTTCTCTCATTTTATCAAGAATAATTCATATAAGCATTTGTCATTGTAATGGAAGCCTATATTAATACCTTTTCAAACTTTTAAGTGCAAAATAACTAATTAATCAAACAAGTGAAAAATCTAAAAAAAAAAAAATTCTTTTATAAGATACATTAATAAAAAAAAATAGTAGCCAGAGTAATGTAAAATGATAAATAACTAGTAGTATTATGTATGCTATTAAATGACATCGGCTTAAGTCAATATTCTTTTTCCCATGCAAATGTAAGTTAATAAACCTATCGAAACACATTCCACTCAATGTAATGCAAAAATTTACAAAAGTTGATTGATAAAATAGTTTTCAATGAATCTGATAAATCATATAAATAACACATTCTTACTTCAAAGCTGCATGGTGGCCTGAAGGTCTTATGAAATTCTATGATTATTCTTAATTTCCTCATTTTCCACCTAAAATATGAATATTTGAATAAAAATAAAACATCAATAAAATCAGTATAGGAGAAGTCATAAAATTCCAACATTAAACATATAGAGGAAATATATGTTGAGAAAAATATCTGCATAGTTTCTCTAAGTTTTAATTAAAGCAACAAAATTCTAAGTTTATAATAGACTTTTCTTAGAGTCATTAATTTTTAGATATAATTAGTAAGATATGCACAATTCTGAAAATGGCACAAAAATTAAAGAATTTCTCAAAAATAAGGAGAATTCGTACACACAGAGAGCATTTTAAACAGAAATATTTTTCAAATGGTATCTAAAGTAAAAAATTTTTTTAAAAAATGAGTCATTTATTTAAAAATAAAGAGAAAAAAAACATGTTTCAGAATAAAGGAAAAAAACAAGACATATTTAAGTAATAAAAAAAAGCATTTACTATAAGGTTAAAGTATGACGGGCTGCCACGAGCAATTCTTTGCACAAGTGGGCCACTTCTTGAGGACATAGACACAAGAATCCTATCATTCCTTTAACAAACTATGAGGAATGTTCATTCACAACATACTACAAAGAAATAATCAAATTAAAATTACAGCTGGGTTAAATTATTATCAAAATTTGAATTAAAATTAAATTTGCAACTAATTTAGGATAATATTACTCAGGTAAATATAAATACAGTGCATGCTGCGTATTAAAATTACATCCGTTTTGAGAACACTCGATTTTAAAAAGCAACAAATTTTAAAAACCAAAATGTAGGAAAAAATCATTTCAAGGTTGAATTTTAAACTAAATTAAGTTGATTAAAAACTAAATTGTATGTATGTTTTATTAAACTACAAGTATGTTTTATTAAAATAAAACCTACATTTGACATTAACAAGAGCTACATTTTTTAACTTAGGCGGGTTTTAAAATATTATATTTGAGAAGTGAAATTTCAAATTAAATATTCACTATAGTCCATTTTAATAAATCAAGAGTTCTTCTGAAATCGATTGAAGTTACATTTACCTTATTGAATGATTGAGGATCCATGACATTGAATGATAGGCATTTTACAATTTTTCTTAGTACATAAACAGTTTTCTTTTGGATTCCTTTAGACTCCCTTTTTCCTAATTTTTTGAATTTTTGCCCTTCAATTTCAACACAAAATGCAATCAACACCAATAACTTTGTTCATAAAGAACAGATAAAAATTTCTTATTTATATGCATTCAAAACTTGAGAATATAGAAAATTCTAATCATTCAAACAAGAAAAAGCAATGTTTTTCATTGTTTTAAACAAAAGCATTACAAAATTTCGTCACATTTTTCTTTATTTAAAATTTGTTAGTAGAGTGCTCAACATTGTTATACCACATTATAGTACTTCTAAGCAGCAAAGGGATTTCCTTAAAAATACAGGATAAAAAATATTTATAAAAAAAAAATAAAGAATGATTCTTAATATATTAGTCATTAACCCACTCACTTGATACATTCTAACTAGGTAAGCCACAAAAGATAATGTTTTTATCTGTGCAGGCATAAAGTCAACATAAACTTCTTTGTTCAGAGATGGATTGCTCCTAAAATAAAACAAAACAAAAAATAAAATTTCTGTAAACATTCTGTATTTTGTCTGCTTTTTTCCCAAAGAACAAATTAAATATATAAAATTTAATGTTTAACTTTGTCCCAATGAATTTATTGATTTATATATTACAAGTGGGTAGCCAAATCTTTCAACCAAAAATAAGCATCTTTCAAATACTTTTTAAGCACTCAAGATATATTTTTTAGCACTATATACATTAACAAAATGCAAAATAATTTTCAAACAATTCACATGATCATGATAAAATAACTAGTTTCTGACAAAGAACTATTTTTATGATTATATTAGCCACCATAAAAATATTCGAGATTCTTTTAATTTCAATATAATTTTCTTATTTTACTCTTCCGAATAGTTAGAGAATAGAATGGTGTAAAAAATTAAATTTAATACCACAAAAATCAAAACTATCACCTTAATGACTCATAAGATGCCCATCCAGTTCCAATTAATATATTTTCATCAAAAAGCTCTTCAAGGGATGGCACTAATTCTGAAAATAGAAAACTGTTAACTTACTTGAAAATAGGGTTAAAATAAATTTTTAAAAAAATTTTGTAATCCCCTCCCCCAACATTTAAAATATAGATACTGCACTTTGTTTTATTAAAACAAAACCTACATTTGACATTAACATGAACTACATTTTTTAACTTAGGAGGGTTTTAAAATACAGTAGAGAACCAATTATCCGGGATGCTCGGGACCATCGCTATCCCGGATATCTGAATTTCCCGGTTTTCTGGATCGACCAAAAAGTGTCGTTAATCGATGTTTTATCGAACCCGAAGTACNTAAATCCATTGAAGTTAGATTCACTTTATTGAATGATTGAGGATCCATGACATTGAATGATAGGCATTTTAAAATTTTTCTTAGCACATAAACAGTTTTCTTTTTGACTCCTTTAGACTCCCTTTTTCCTAATTTTTTTAACTTTTGCCCTTCAATTTCAACACAAAATGCAATCAACACCAATAACTTTGTTCATAGAGAACAGATAAAAATTTATTATTTATATGTACTCAAAACTTGAGAATATAGAAAATTCTAATCATTCAAACAAGAAAAAGCAACGTTTTTCATTGTTTTAAAGCCTTACAAAATTTTGTCACATTTTTCTGTATTTGAAATTTGTTAGTAGTGTGCTCAACATTGTTATACCACATTATAGTACTTCTAAGCAGCAAAGGGATTTCCTTAAAAATACAGGATAAAAAATATTTATTAAAAAAAATAAAGAATGATTCTTAATATATTAGTCACCCACTCACTTGATATATTCTAACTAGGTAAGCCCGAAAAGATAATACTTTTATCTGTGCAGGCATAAAGTCAACATAAACTTCTTTGTTGAGAGATGGATTGCTCCTAAAATAAAACAAAACAAAAAATAAAATTTTAGTAAACATTCTGCATTTTGTCTGCATATTTCCCAAAGAACAAATTAAATGTATAAAATTTAATGTTTAACTTCGTCCCACAGAGTCACTAAACATAAAATTCCTTCACAGAATACAATTGAATAAGTAAAAAACAATACTGAAAAGTTTTATTGCATAAAACCACTCTGACTTGATCATCTGGTATGAAATATAAAATAAGTAAAAAAGAAAGACATTTAAGGTATATCCTACGTGCAAGTAGTTAATTTAAAAAGTTTCTCTCTATATTTTCTGCTATATTTTGACTGTAAACATTATAAAAATAAAATTAAAATGACAAGGGCGTCAAGGATAAAACAACAATCAAGATCAAAATCAATAAAATAGATTTTACAGCAAAAATCATGCAAGTTGACCATTTGTAATGTACCAATTTGATGGCCTAGTTTGAGAAGTGGTCAGTATATTAAGAGGTGATACAAGAGTGGTGTTAATTATAGTCTTGGTATACCTAGTGGGCTGATCAACTTAATAAGTTTGTTTCAATTAAGAAAGCTTTATTTTTAATAAGTGTAACAAAGTAATAAAATATGTCATACACGATATCATCAATATTCCTTAGACTATTTTTCTAGTTGAATATATGACATCGTTTTAAGATATTTAGAAAAAAACTTACTCACACTTTGCAATATTTTTGTTGCAAAACTTTTCAAAGAAAAAGAAAAGACATTCCAGCTTCAATCAAGGATAAGAATAAAAACTGAGACCAATAAAATAAATCTGATTTCATTTGGATACAACATTTGTTTTAATTAAAAAAAAATTAACAAGCTTTTATTTTTGAAAAAGATTACAAAATGTCAAATTTTTTGTGATATTGACAAATATTTCTCAGGCTAACTATTTCGTAACTAAGTTATGAGCTGGTTGCAAGATATTTAAAAAAAATTATATTCTAAGTTTAGATGATTTGATCCAAACAGAATAAGAATTAGAATATCCACATTGAGATGCATTTTATGAAAGAGAATACTTTATCTTTGCGAATTAATTGAAACTTTATTGGATGTATGAGTTTTTCTATAAAATTATAAATTATTTTTTTATGACTGTTCTGAAATTAATCAAAATTATATATTTTAGTGATACATATATTGACCCTGTGGTATCTTACACATTGCTAAATTTAAATTAGTTTTCATTTAGATACTAGAAAATTTGAATAAAACAATTACTATTATAGCAAATATGAGAATCAATGCTAGATAAATTAAAAGTTATGTAAATACTGACAATGATCATTATCAACTGAAAACTGCCTCCAACTTCTGGAATCTAAAGTGCAACATTTTTAATACTTCTAGAGAGAGATTTCTTAGTTATCTTATATAGATATATTATCATCTAAGAGTAATTTGGCAAACAAAGAGACATTTACTAAAACATTTATCACTTCATAGACTATTTCAACATTGAAGTACAGTCACTAATATTAAACTTTCTATGGAAAATAATATTTGAGTAATGTTAAAATTAAGTTACCTCTGTTGAGCTGTGGGTTGTAAAGTATTAGTTGTCATTATCAATGGCACAAATTCTTCGACATCTTTATGAACACTCATTTTATATAGCTGGTACATCAAGACAACAATTATAGGTAGCTCTGTCAGTGCCTTTAGGGACATAGTAGCTATTGGGATTAAATAAACCTGTAAAAGAAATCAAATATATAAACAATATAAAAAAAAGAAAATCACAAAGTAACAATTTTTAATGCTAGAAAGTATAGAAGAAAGTAATTTTGTAATTTTTAGTATAACATTTTTCTTTAAACACACATAAAACTGGAGAACCATGCTAATAATTTGGTTAAGAGAACTACAAGTTTAACTTTATAGATACAATTGTTATGCCTTCATTATGTATTATAAGCAACAAAGTATGACATTTTTAAAAGGATGGGTGAGTTCAGGGACAGGGAGCTTTTGGAGCTTGCTCAAAGTCCCTTCGGTTTCTGAAAAGTAAACAATAATTTGAAAGTTGAGTTTTTGAATGATCCAGTACATATTTTTCACATGACGTCATTTTTCTTAATCTAATAATTTTTTTAACAATATTTTAAACAATTCTATCAAGTAAAACAGTCAAAATTTTAAAAAAATAATGAAATACAAATCACGATTTTTGGAAAAATAAGAAACATTCATACTGATTGATCTTTCTGTTTAAAATGCATCAATCAAATTTTCAATTTCTAAGTTTCATATGAATTTTAATTTTCTTGAAAAGGATTAAATAAAAAACTGTCTGTGTACCATTGGAAATACTTGCATAAAAAATTAAAGTTTATTTTTAAAATATTTTAATTCAATACAAAATTGTTTGTTAATAAAAAAAATGTAATAACTCTACTCTTTATCTCAAAATTAAAGCAAATAAAAAAAAATCTGTTTTTGAATTATATAGCTAGAATACCTAAGAGCAAGTTCCAAAATCTCCAAGGCAGAGAACTAACCCAATGTAAAAGGACACAGGTAATGCTGAAAGTTAAATAAATATTACACTAATACAGTGTCTTTTCAATGACTTAACAAGGTTATTTTTCAATTTTTGTAAGTCTTTCAAATTGAAACATAATAAAAACTTAGCTTGAAAAGTAAATTTCCAAATTCTAAATTTAACTTCTTTTTTTTTTATAGCTTGAATATGTAATTAAAGACAGTTAAGTCAGCTGCATGTTTTAAAAAAAAATTATAAAATATCATAAATGTAAAAACCACACAATGTATGTTTTTATGCAATCTGTAGTCAAAAGAAATTGTATGTAAATCTTTCACATTTATTAAATTTAATATTTATACTGTGAAAGATTAACAATGCCTGACTTTCTAAACAATATTTTAATTTTCATAAAAATTAAAATATTATTATAATATTGTTATCATTAAAATTAAAATATCTTCAGCTTAATTTAGAAAAAGTTTACTCTTAAAAACTTTGTATTAAAAATGCAACAAAAAAAGCTAAATAAGTATATGTAATTCAAAACTGTGGGATAGGACATTGAACAAAGGATTAAAACTTTTAAATAAAAATTTTAAAAAGTTTGATTTCTAAGGTTTGTACTGTATCTAATTATTCTAAAATAGTATAATTACAAGTTAGTATAATTACAATCATAGGTAGCTCTGTAAGTTCATGTAATTAAGTTGATAAATCCATAGATTAAATTGATACTAATTAATAATAATTAAAAAATAGATTCTTAAGATCAAAATTAATGTTTTCTTTTCTCTTCCAGCCTATTCTCTTGTAATTTATTTAAAATTAATGTTTTAAAGTTGGAGTATATTCCCTACTAAATGCTGAATCTTATTTTGCACTGAAAGGGTTTTGTTTTAATTTTAATCATTTTTAACTCTACAAACTCTCTATAAACAAAAGAATTTAACCTGCATTTGTTTTATTAACTAGAATATTTATTTATTTATTTTTAATTTAATTCTATGAACGTTAAAATTTTAATGTTTAAATGGACTTTTGCATTATGCAATGTGATAAAAAAAATATGAATTTTCCCATTTTTTTAAAAATTTATTTCTATTTATCTGCTCTTTTCTCATAAATGGATTCTGATTTTCTGATTGTTTTTTTTAATGGGTAATCAGTTTTTAATTTTAAACATTTAAAAGTATTTAATTTTACACAAATATATTATAAGGTTACCCAATAAAAAGAATTTAGTGCCAAGAGCAATGATGTTTTTAAAACAATTACTATCTATAATTGCTGTTAACATGCCTGTCTAAATTCTTAGGCATGCAACCCTTCATAGGTCAATTTGCTGTGCATGTAGCCCTTCACTTCAAAAGGTAGTGCACCTCTAATATAATAATAGTAAAATTTTTCCTTAACTTTGAAGGCTTATACAGATTGAAAGCATGCATACATGATTTTTTTTTCAAGAGATGTTAAAGTTAATACAACTAAAAATTGATTAAAAGCATGCATACATGAATTCTTATTTCAAGAGATGGTTAAAGTAAATACCACCAAAAATTGACCTGAAGTTCGAATAAATTAAGCAAGAAAAAAGATTCCAAGCACGTTTTTGAATTAAATTATGAAAAAAATGCTCCTCACATTAAATTTTTAAACGAAGTTACTTCATAGCTTTTTTAATTTTACTTGAATATCATTTTTAAATTCAATAGCATCAAAAATAATAATGAAAACAATTATAAAAGGCAATTGAAGTCTTCAAAATTAAAATATGAATGAGCTTTAAGAAGGTTTAGAAAGAAAAACATACCTTTTAATGGGCTCCTAAAACCATACTTAAATTTAAGGCTTTTTTAGGAATAGAAACCCTTTCATACTTGTGAATAAGCTAATTTTTAAATATTACCAAGGCTACAACAAATAGTCTGAATTTTATAATGGTTTAGCCAAATAACTATTTTCATTGCTTACTCAAAAAATACAATAATCTTATTAACATACATTTAAAAAGCATACCTGCCAACCTTCAATCCTTTCAAGGATGACTTTCCCCAGTGGTAGTAAAATGGAATGTAAATTACAATTATCGGCAGAATCATGCGCTATAATTTGAAAATGCTTATGCAGACTACCATAACAGTATTGCATATTATTATAAATGCTCAATTTTTTAAAAAATAGTGGTGGCCAAAAAGATTATAAATTAAGTTTATAAATGCAAGGAATATATAGAAAGCATTCATTTTACTACCACTTTAAATATAGAAATAAAATTTTACGCCAAATGCGTAAAAGTTGGCAGGTATGAAAAAGGCTTTTAAACACAAGACTTGAAATTTTCAAATTATATGAACTAATAATTAATTTAATAACTAATAATAACAGATTCACAGACGCTAAAATTATTTTTACTCACCATCTGAGTAGTTGAATTTGGATCCCTTTTTTAACTTTTCTCAATTTGAATCGGTGGGATGGTAAATGTTTCTTTCAATAACGGTTTCAACGTAGCTGCTGATAAATTTTTTACTTTTGGAGTAGGCCGTGATGCGTTATAAATTAAGCATTATAAATTATAAATTAAGTTAATGCTTTCTATATATTCCTTGCATTATAAATTAAGTTTATAAATGCAAGGAATATATAGAAAGCATTCATTTTACTACCACTTTAAATATAGAAATAAAATTTTACGCCAAATGCGTAAAAGTTGGCAGGTATGAAAAAGGCTTTTAAACACAAGACTTGAAATTTTCAAATTATATGAACTAATAATTAATTTAATAACTAATAATAACAGATTCACAGACGCTAAAATTATTTTTACTCACCATCTGAGTAGTTGAATTTGGATCCCTTTTTTAACTTTTCTCAATTTGAATCGGTGGGATGGTAAATGTTTCTTTCAATAACGGTTTCAACGTAGCTGCTGATAAATTTTTTACTTTTGGAGTAGGCCGTGCTTCAAACATAAGATGCAAGTAATTAGGCAGATCTTTGTAAATATTCTTTACATAAAGCAGAAACATCTGTATCTAAAATAAATTGGAAAATTACAAAAGATTAATTATTTTTTCTAATTTAGAATATATTTTCTTCATTCAATCGGTATGTAACATGATAGTGTAACCAACCGATTTCAGGATGCTATTAAGAATCATATTAATAATAATCATACATTATATTAATGCTCTTCCAAATATTTTGCCTTTTTTAATATAATCATAATTAATATCATGATGTTATATGATATGATAATTATACAATATGGTAAATAAATCATATGATTATTATAATTTCATATGTTATCACAATAAAGGTGGAGCTTGTTTACATATCACAAAACTGTATTCATATTGAATAATGCAGAGTATTAAATATTTATACACCATATTTTTTCTTCTTCAATAAAAAGTTTGTCATAAACCAATTCTGATTAAATAAACACACGACAAAAGAAAGCATCGGCAGTCAATCATTTTCAATTAAAATTTTAAAAGGAAAAAAAAACACATAAATGTTTCATAAAATTTCAACAAATTAAAAAGAATAAAGTTTTTTTTTTTTTAAAAAAATACTACAGAAAATTGTATTGAGTTAAAATATTAACAAGTGATAAAATTTATGATGAAATCTCCTTTATTTTAATACATAGATTTAAATTTGCTGAACCCTATTTTTAAGCAACACAACAATTCATAATTAATATTTCACATGTTTTCTCTTTGCTTTAAAGTCACATGTTGATTATACTATTCTTCATGATTTTTTTTTTATTTGTAAGTTGAAGAGGTGTTAGTAATAGCTAATTTTTTTTTAATATATCATTATTCTCACATCACTGCATGCAACCTTTAGATTTCCCAATCACTTAAGTTTTATTTTAAGATGCTTGATGTT